CATACACTTCATATAATCGTTAGGTCATACTCTGATTTTATAAACTTTAAATTATTTACATAGGGTTCTGGAAAAATTAAATTACAAGTTAGTTATGATATGTACAGAAATAACACTATCAAATAATGCAGCGTTTTCCTTTAAATGTACCTTTGTCTACTCGTATAACGTTTATATAAGTACAAACACGCAACGAAGCCACCTTAAAAAAGATATAAATGAACACCTACATCAGACAAACATGAATAGTAAATGAAAATATATATAACCATTTTCATTACAATGGTTAATGGATATCGATTGCTTAGATATTTCAAAACTTTTAGTTCCTCGAAATTGAAGGCACATTTTAAATCTTACACTCGATATGGTAGGGGTTTTAAATTTAATTAACATTCATTAATACAATTCATTTGATAAGCATTGCATTTTTGGGAATAAAATTTAGGAAATCGTTGCATAAAAATTACACCTTTTTTAAAATGAACAACCAACAACAAAATCAATACAGCATTACTAACCTTATCATTTTGTGCCATCATGTACTCTCTTCAGATTTATGATAAAATGAGATGTTTACTATAATATCGTACTGTTCACTTCAAATCATTCGACCCATGGCACCAATTCAATATGTAAAAGCCAGAAGGAACATGTACATAATACAAATGAAACTAATACGAATGAAACTTAGTAAGGATCAGTTTTTCAACAAAACTGTAGAGTCACATTTAGTGACTTTTATGCAACTGTCATTCAAGTGAGATGTTTAGCTAGTTATACAACCAGGTTTAATCCACCAATTTCTACATAAGAAATTGTCTGTACCAAGTGAGAAATATGACAGTTGTTATCTATTCGTTTGATGTGTTGAGCTTTTGATTTTGCCATTTGATTAGAGACTTTACGTTTTGAATTGTCCTCGGAATTCGATATTTTTGTTATTTTACGTTTATGACAACAATGAGTAATAACTAAAGGAGCTAATTACCATGTGTACAGTTGTTTGTCTTTTATTCATCTTTCGTTTTTCATGGCACTGTCAGTTTGTTTTCGATTTATGACTTTTAATATTTCTTTGGATAAACTGAATGCTGACAATATCATGTCCGCTTTAAATTAAATTTTTATTGACTGTCTTCATATGCATCCAATGCAATCCTATCGACATAACTATATCCATTCGAAATGTATAACATTTATAAACCTCAAACATTTCAAATCCAAACCTGTATCAATATGTGAAAGTAAGCGGAGTTAAAACGGATTTGATGAAAATAACCAAATGTATCGAAGGTCAATTGAGTGAATTGGAACCTTAACTGCAACTTAACAAGGGAGAATTAAAAAAAAAGGTATGTTGTCAGAAACGAATAACTGACATTTAGAGGCTGACACTTTCGTGAATAAACCTTCACCAGTAGGGGCATCATCCAAATATGAACAAAAGTATCACCTATATAAGCCGATCGTGTCAAGGTGTAGACATATGGATCACCCCCAGTTTTTGGTGGGGTTCGTGTTGCTTAGTCTTTAGTTTTCTATGTTGTGTCATCTGTACTATTATTTGTCTGTTTGTCTTTTTATTTTTGGCCATGTCGTTGTCAGTTTGTTTTCGATCTATGAGTTTGACTATCCCTCTGGTATCTTTCGTCCCTCTTTTATTATCTGATATCACCAAAGACAGTACTAATGTTACAATGTTTTTTTTCTTTAAAGAGAAACCCTAATTTATACAATGGTGTGTTCAATAAACATGTTATTTTCCAGTCTATTATCTGAATCATCAAAGCATATCCAATATAAAAATAGGGAGATAAGATATGATTACCAATTAGATACATGTGAGATAACAGTGTTCCTTGTCGATTTTTTCAACTTATGAGTTTGAATGTCCCTCTGGTATCTTTCGCCTCTCTTTTAAAGACCGTGCAAGCAGTTTTTACGCTTTTGACATGTTTAATGCTGTCACCGCTTAACCGTAGACTTTTCTTGATAGAGATATTTCTGTTTTTCTTGTGAAGACTACTTCTTTGCAACTGTAAACGACAATGACAAATATATTTCTTTTCAAAATTCACTACTGCACAGTCACCCATTAATTGGCCATTAATAGCTACCATTAAATTACCATTAACATTTATTTTAAAAAACCATTAAAAACCCCTTAAAGGTACATAATTTAGACCCATTAAATCAGTGTTCTTTATGTTATAAACCATTAAACTACAGTTGATGGCCTTGAATTTTGACAGTATTAAACCCATTAAATGTATATTTGATAGTCATTAATACATTATTCGTTAAACAATTAGAACTAGCATATATGAAAAATTTCAATTTTATAAACATTATCTCAAAAGAAGTGAAATCAGGTTTTATACGTAAAACGCGAATTCAGGAGCTGACTTCACAAAATAAGACAATGATATGCCATTCATGCTTTACTAGGTCTATAATCTAACATATTCGTTTAATTTCACTAGTTTTGTCATATTTTAATTTTATAAAGTATATAGACTCATAGTCATCATTAGTGTCCATGAACAATACTGACGTACAATTGGTTGTTTGAGAGATTAGTAATCATACATTTAGTAATTCCACTAGACTGATATTAAGGCTACTGATCAATCGGGATGAAATTGCTCTTGTTTTTCTCGTTGATTAGCTTTAAATATCCCTTTCCTTGTTTTTGCTTTTCAACAGAATACAAATATTAAGATATTTGTTACTTCAAATAACAGTACTAAAATACTTTTTCTTAACGGTATTTTAAAAAGTATCAATGTACAATGTAATATTTTGTTGATTCCAAATATGAAATATGTCTGTTTGGAAATATTACTAACGATTGTGAAAAAAAGAATGGATATATCTAAACTGCATCTTTGGACCAAGTGAGATAATTATAAAGTGAAAGTAAGCTGATTTTTTTTTTTTTTTTTTTTTTGTGCTTTTCTTAAGTTAATATATTACATTATATATGTATTTTACACAACAATGAAAAATGCTGCAAAAATGAAGATCAAGTACTTCAATTCAGGACAACATTTTTATCGGCAATTTTGATATTGATAAGCGAAAACTTGTTTGAAACACATGCTGCAAAGTAACCTTACTACCCCTTCTTCAAGTTGAAATCATTGCAAAAGCAGGGCGTTAATGTGTAAATGTGCAGCTTGTTCGGCTTAGATTTGGGAATTATGTGATACCCTCGTAGAGGAAACTTCTACCAGAAAAATCAAGAAAGATACCAGGCTTATAATTTTGTACGTCATTGACGCTCGAATACAAACAGTTGCATCTGATACTTAATATGCCAAGGCAAATTTATTGTAAAAATAGGGATAATGTAACCAGAGCTTCAACTTTGATCTGGGTTTTCAAACAATTGTCATCTCTTTAAAACAATGCAAGTGTAATTTAAGCGAAAAAGCAGATGCACTCATATTTGAAAGACATTGATTTGCCTTTAAACAATGACAACTGTGTTTTGTGAAATCCTACTAGCAACACTGAATAATAGAAAATAACAGAAAGGCGAAATAAGCATCCCTCAACGAATTAAATGCTTACAAGCAAACTGTGTGAACTATCAAAACTTAAGTAAAATCAAAATGTGACTACCAAAACCCTTTATTGTTTTCATCTGGAACCTGCTTAGATAATCATTTGAGCATGCATGGAAGATAGTTTTTTTTCAAAATATGGATTGTTGTCACGTTTATGAATACCCAATATTTCCTTTTATTCATCAGTTCTAATAACATATAACAATTTTAGTCTGAATAACTCATTTTTAAAGCATCTATCAATTATTTTCCCTACAAATGTTTTGCAAATCAAGGTATGCCGATGTCCAGTATGAAAAACATTTGGGTGATTGGTCAAATAAAATTTCAATTGAAATAAAAAATTATCATTTCTTCTATGTTTGAATTTTTTCATATTATCCTGCACAAGATGTTTCGTGTTCTATTGGGTAGACGCATCAATTTAACGAGAAAAATTTATGTTTTTTAGCAATAACAATAAAAGATAATCAAAATATATCATTTCCTGGTAACGTTAGTTGCGTTCCTGTCAACTGGAGTTCTTATATATAATTTTAATAGCAATCGGTACATTATTTGAGTAATCTTGTTCATTGTGAATAGGCATGAGGTACATTTGTAGTCCGATAGTTAAACTCAATTTTACAGGACGTAAACCCTACAATTTCTTTTCATATATGTTTCAGTTGTTTCAATCTTTATTTGTCTGTAGTATTTTTTGTTCTCCTTTTATCCAGAACAACTATGAAAATGATAATGACTAGCTTATGCTACAATTTTTAGTTACAGTCATTGGACAAAATCGACATTTTATAAATAAATTTACCAAGTAACTTTATGAGCGGTTTTTATGAAATATGTACCATAAGATGTAGAAATGTCTGCAGTTTTATGGTTTATTTGGCCATAATGTACTTGAGTATCGTTTGCATTTTCTGATATGTTAAACACAAATGCAAATTTTTACAGTTCTATTTTGGTTAGAATACATTGCAAACTTTTCCAGAAATATTTTTCTTTGTGTTCACCTTGTCAGAAAATTAAAATGAGCATAAATAATGTCCTGGCCAAATAAACAATTAAATTTTAAACATTTCTACATCTTATGGTATTTATTTGATATAAATCAGTCATGTAGTTACTGGATAATATTGTTTTGAAAAATATTGATTTTAGTTGAAATGATAGGACATTTTTTGAGTGGCAACTCACATTTGTCCAATGGCTGTACAGTGAAATTCAAGTTTGACCTCTTTCCTATTCATATTTCTCCCATTTGCATAAGTGTCATTCCAATCATGGAAAGGAAACTCGAATTAATGTACCACCCAAAAACTGTTCAAAACCATTGTTTAGTACCTGTGAATTGTGGATAAAGCCATTTTACCTAAAAATAAAAACACATCTTCTCCTTTTCTATTTCTTTAATTTTATTAAGATTTGTCCAAGAGTTGCAACTGAGCAACCATTTTTTATAAAATTTATTCTTAGTTACAATGACCTATATATTTGGAATGTTGACCACAAATGATTAAATAGGCTACTTTCCTATCATATGTCTAGCATCTGTATACATTATTCCTTTCTAGCAAGAGAAACTCTAGAAATTATCTGTAAACCTTTTGTTTCGGGTACACTGACGGACAAAATGATTACTTTATGCTCTAGTGTTTGTCGGCGTGATTTGTACGACCAAAAAACGTTTGCAACAAAGTTCATAACATACAGCATGAAATAAATCATAACTGCACTCCAGATAATGTACTTTTATTTTTTTCATAACTAATTTGGTATACTTTTAGAAACAAAAAGAAGAACAGCATGGTCACGTTATTTAGCATTGTATATTCCAATATTCATGTTGGTACTTTTTAATCATAAACAATTATAACTGATCGGCTCCATATGTTTGATATTGTTTGTTTTATAGGAGTAAATGCATCCACTTTTTAAAATTCTTTTCTGTATTTTCTTCCAAGTCTCAATGTTCTAAATTCACATGTGGTAGGCAACTTAGGTACTGTTGATCTGTGGGTACTTGTTCAGGTTCTGATTATACTGTGCAAATAGTTCACATATATAGTCGAACATGACATAACGTTATCCAACAAATCACGTCTTTTCTTTTAAGGACCAGTTTTTAGCAGTTGATGCCTGAAAAGAAATTCTCGAGTAATTATGTCAAAAACTGATATGATATATACTTGCATATGATGTAATTCGTGGTTTATAAACACGAAAAGGTAATGTTGATTATTAAAAAGCATGATTTAAATAACAAAAATAAAGATCACCATTGTATCAACACAATTCTGTTGCAAAGGGTATTTATTACCTGTTTAGAGGTAAGGTCAATCAAGCAAAAAAAGTAACATTTAACTATTATATTGAGTACATTAAACAAACATTATTAAACAAAATTAAATACTCTTAAAATTACAATGAAATGATCTTTGAAAGGTGTTTTTTTCCAAATTTCTTGAGAAAACTATATTAGAAGGGTAGTGATAATTTACCCTGATATCAACCAAAGAATCTTAACTTGTATGTTTTTGAATCGTTTCAATAAATTTGAAACACATTGCTTATCTTTAAAAAAAAACATGCCTGAACAAAATATGAACGTTCAGTGCCTTACCTCATTATGCTAAATCATTAATGTTTTTATTTAAGCAGCAGTGTATATAGTAATATGCTCTATGAAATTGTTACACTTGGTTTTGTCTAACAACAAGTTTTATTTACTTTCTTAACATAAAACATGTATAATATTCATTCATTTACATATTTCATTACTTCTAGCTTTGATAACTATTAATGACATAAACAGTATACCAAATAATTTAATCATTTTCTTACATGTGCTTATTTTTGAATTCGCAATTTTAAACACGGTATTGACTATAATAATAATAATAGTTCTACTATAAAAAGATATCCTTTCAACGCAACATAAACCATTTTTAGCGTCGAATGAGTTAGCCCTGGAAGTACAGAGGGGGAATATAATGCACCGGGGGAAATATGATGCTAAGAGGGGAAAATGAAGTTTTATTGAATGTCATGTGGGAAAGTTTCGCCTATTCAAATACCGATTAAATTATTTCATGTGTTAGACTGGGAAATAATTTATAAAACTATGAAAGTTGTGAATGATAAGTTACAAATTAGATGTGATTTTACTTTGGTAAACAACAAATTATTCCTGAATAAGTACCTGAAAACTCAAACTGACTATTTTTTTAAGAACCAAGAGGGCTATGAGGGGTGGATATACACAATCACTACGAATCAGTCCATCTAGAATGTTCGGCCAAAGAAAATATTACTTAAAATACTGTAAGATTGATTGTAATTCATAAATTAGGTTATGCATATTAATGTTCTTTTGCTGGTTAATAAATTTAACAATTATGGACGGCGTCCTTTTGGCACGTATATTTTGCAATCGGGTCACAATTTCCCATGTTGAAGGACTCAATGTGACTAAGAGATGACAAACAGCAATACGAGCGCTGTTCCTTTGCCTATTGAGTTTTTCTTTTCTGTGCATATACGGTTTTGTTTTATCATGGATTGATATCCCATACCTTTTCTTTTCTATAACAGAAAGTTTTCCATTCAGTAATGGTTGACAACAGAAAATCAAAATATTTTACTCAAATACAAGGTGTCACAGTTTAAACCCATAGAATTTTCTTACCGCTGATATATATTAGCGAGTATTTACCTTTTGAGACATCCCTCTATTTTTATGTTTTTTTATTGTGATTATAATCAGTTTTCTTATATACAATGTATTTTAATCTTTTTTTTTAAATCGAATGACTCTGCATTAACATTGTCTTTTAACCACTATGTCTGTTATTCAGTTACATGGTCGAACTCCATTAAGGTTTTATACTGCATAAAATGGCGGTCCTGTTATTTCTTATGTCCAATTTGGCGGCAAAATCTTAGGCATATAATTCTCGCCCGTCAACATTTTTTTCGTTTATCTAAAAAATAATAAATTCGTTTTTACCACAATTACCTATAATATAGTAAGTTTAACTATTGTCATTAAAATTCATAATATCCAAAAAAAATAGTAGACATGGGTAACTAAGTCCTTATAATTGAATAAAGTTACAATCATTTTTTAGTAGAAAATTGTTTTAACGTTTATTAAGCTTTAATTAAAAATTGTTTGCTAGCCCCTCTTTGTGAATAATGTAAGATACTCTGGTTAATTTTCCCAACATTTTATCATTATGGGGAGTTAATATAATTCGATTTTCATATACTAGTGTAGTTTTTGTCATAAAAAGTCAAATGCTTAATAAAGGTTCCTATCACAATTTCTCACTAAAACATTGCCATAAGTTTGAACTTTCTGGAATAAAGTGGTGGTTATGGTGTTCTATGTTCGTGTTTGTGCGTATGTGTATCTTGTGTGTGTGTGTTAGGGGGTGTAAGGGGTGTCGACACATTTATATGTATTTGTCTTTAGGGAATCAAGTTATGCAACTTAACTAAGGAAAGTTATCTGCTTCATTTGAATTCTGACATAATAACATACACCATATCAAACCAATAAATACTTGTACAAGTAGCAGGATCAATGCTGTTGTAGGTTAAATAACATGGACAACAACTTTAAACAGTGTATCCTTGATCGCAGAATGTCTATATGTGTCTATTAGAGATTTCCAGTAAAATGACTTTACTCGACATAACCGACCTAACTCAACGTATTTCGTCCAATTGCATTAAAGCATGACGGAGGGGAGCATACACTGCATGCACTTTTTGCTTTTTGAACACGCATTTTTTGCTGATATAGACTTAATGTAAAAATCAATCCCAACTACTTTTTTTAATCTTTAAATATTTTGTTATTCAATTTTGAAGCATTTTATTGACAAAAATGTTTTAATGGAATACTTAAGCTATCAACTTGTAATCAAATACACCCATCATTTCTTGTCATTTCACTTGACCCATATTTCAGTTCTTCTCAAAATGTGAATTTTAAAAACTACCAAATAAAAATTTATCATGAAAATATAAAAATAATGAAATCCGAAGCGAGAAGTTTATCTCTTTTTTTTGTTTTTATAAGTTTTAACGTTTAAAAATTAGATTCCAACACACCCGAATGTAAAAGGTGAACGCGACTAACTTTAAAAAAAAATATTCTATAATTTAATTCAAGATAATTTGACAGAAATTTATATCATTGATACATTTATCAAATAGTATTTTATAGTCTTCAACTATAATAATGCATGGAACGAGGTTTTTGTCCATGTATACCTAAACGTGCATTCGCAGATACAGGGGTAGATAAATAATTTTGAAAATCTCACGTTTCCACGTTATCTATACAAATGTTTAGTATAAAATCGTCTAATTTTTTTCGCGTTGCTCCGCTCGGCAGTATACATTCAATTTTCGGGAACTACGCCGTCTTTCAAATATCTTGGATCCGGTCATAATCACAAATTGTATGGCACCAACAAAAAATTAAATAATTGTCGTTTGACTTTGATAAATACGTTTTAAAAACAACAATGTTTGAACATTAATATAGACATCTCTCACAATATTTAAAAGTTTAAGACTACAAACTGAATTGGATTTTTTCCTGGATTTAGAGCTCACTTAACACGAAAATGTGATACTGGTGTGTAATCTAATGTATAATTCCACTAACAAATAATCATGTATCTTTTACTGATAAATTATCATTACATTTTATAGAAACTACATATAATCTGCTATACAGTCATGAACACTAATGTTCCTACAGACGCTCTGTGCTTTTGACATGACACAAGGTCTTGCTTTTCTAGAGTGTTTATGTACTTTTTTACTTAATTTGTGATATGTAAAAAAAAAAAGAAGATGTAGTATGATTGCCAATTCGACAACTCTTCCCAAGAGACCAAATGACAGAGAAATAACAACTATTGGCCACCGTACGACCTTCAACAATGAGCAAAGCCCATACCGAATAGTCAGCTATAAGAGGCCACAAAATGACAAATGTAAAACAACTACAACTATAAAACTAACGGCCTAATTAATGTACAAAAAAATGAACGAAAGCACTGCAACAAACGATAACCACTGAATTACAGGCTCCTTACTTGGTACAGTCACATCCATACATAATGTGGCGGGGTTAAACATGTTAACGGGCCCACTTACCTAATACAGTGGTGTAATAGTACAAAATAATTGATTAATATTCTAGACAGGATAATTATTCTGTATTTATTAGTTGTAGTTGTTTTTAAGATAGTGTTCAGTAGCTGTGAATACTCTAAGATCGATACAGGGAGTTTATTTGGAATATACTAGTAATTGCTGTTTTTGAGCTTCGTTTTAGTCGGACGAGTCAATCCCTTTCTAACTGTTTTAATTGTGAGTAGACATGATCATTTGATAAACAAACTTCTATGATCTCTATTAGCTTTAACTTGAACATTTATAAAAACTATGTAGAAAAGAGATGCATGCGTAAAATAAGTTCTCGACATAAATTGGCTAAAACATCAGATACGAATTAGCCTCAAGCTATGATACTTACAAGCTATACTGACCGACTTTAGAAACGCAACACTAGATGATTCTTTTTGAATTTTTGAATGAATGTAGCACCGTCAAAAGCAATGACTGCCTGTTACAAACGCCAAAATGATTGTCAGAAAGATCAACCAATTCTGTTCCACAAGTTTTGGGTTCTGTTTTACACCTTCTGAATATGCGTTTGTTCCACTCATTACAATGGGTTTTGGCAATTATGCGGTGGAATCTTCAGGGTTTTAAATGTTTTTCTTCAGTCGATTCTTTGGCAGTTCAGTTTATGGGAAACGTTTATGGCATGAATCTGTGCGCAATGGCATTCGGCAATTTGATAAGCAGTTGACGTTGCGGCCGTAAACATGTCTCGCAAATGACGTTGCGTAATCAAATTTTATTGACGTTGCATTGTCACTACATGTTGATCTGGTCATTGATGGTCAGTAACAAATCCCGTCTACATGATCGTTGTCGGATGGACAGTAAGACGAGTTTCTGAAGTCAAACTGTATGGTTGCAGCACGTTCACGTTTTCTTGTTTGCAGTATTCTTATGGGATGATTCAGTTTTTATTCCTCAGTCTTGTCAATATGGAGATGCAACATTTTTAAACTGATTTAAGTGTCGCCAAGGATTGAAAGAACTGTTTCACGAAGCAAAACAAACTGAAAAAATCTTTTATGGGTTCCAAATTTCGCTTTAAGAAATTTGTGCGATTTCAAAAATCCGGTATGTTCAATAACCACAGGTAAGTCAGATGTTGATTTTTTCTTAAGAGAAAGAAGTATGGTAAGCATTAATAGTAGTTGTATGAGAATCAAATATGATGTGGAAAAAAATCAACAAAATGAGTGTTGCGTTTTTAAAATCAGTCAGTATATAATAAATACGACGAATAGTTAGCCTCAAGCTATAATACTTATGATGATGATGATAATGATGATTGTCTTATATCCAGCGACAAATATCACATATATATTAAGGATGATGAAATGATAATGATAAATGATTATACCTTTTTATACATGACCAACACTTACAGTCGCATTTTTATATGCTAGGTAAATTAGCGTACCCGATACAAAGACACACTTGTCTATTTTCGATTAAACCAGCACCTGCTCTTACTCGTGAATGCATCATGCTTGGTGGTGAAGCCGAAAAATCCAGTCGTAAAATCATTCGATCAAGGGGTCCAACAAAACAATTGAACTCAATTGCTAATCAAGTACACCTTCCAAATTACAATCTATATAACGAATTGGTGTACACATTTATTTACATATATCATTATTAATTACAAAATTCTTTTTTTTAATGTTGACTTTCATTTGAAAGAAAAGTGTATGTCAACTATTAAAATTTAAAGAAGTACAAGACCTGTATTAATATATTTTTTAAATATACACATCCCATTGTCGAACGTTTTCCCTGGGAATAAAATCGGAGATTGTAAAAAAACAAGATTGACTGCAGAAGAAGAGAACGTTAGAAATGATACCAAATAAAGTATGATGCAATCCGAGTTATCAACTTTAACAGAGACAAATTCTGACTAAAACTTTAATTTCGATATTTCTGAAATTGCTAGAAAAATCTCTGTCTAATTATAAATACCCACGGAAATTAAATATTATAAAACATTAAGAGACGAAAGGAAAAAGGGACACCAATCTGATAACGAAAAAATATAAGCATGTCAAATATTAAATAATAAAAGGTTCATTTGCAAAGTATATCGAAATACAAAGTCATGATCAAAACCATGATTAACGACTCAAATCAATTGTATGATGGGTAAAGATACGTGTATATACGTGGTCTTATGACAGTGAAGTTTTGGCGGGAATCTCAATAATCACGTGATATATAAAAATCATGATTTCTTTCGTTATTCATCATCTTAGAAATACTTGATATTGATAAAATTTATCATGTATGTGTTTAATAGTTTAGGAATACTTAGTTAAAACTAAAGTGACGCATTTAACAAAATTAATAGGTTAGCAATAACTGGTCCCGTTACGTGCGTACGTCGATTTAGGTACGTATGTCATTTTATTGGAAATCTCTATTAACACGTGTGTTGTTCACCTGAATATTTTACCTCAAGTTATAAATAGACAGAACACTGTATGTATAGTATAGTACAATATTGCAGCTTTCAAAGTTTGAGTATGCACTGTTGCAGGAAGTGGCCTTACTAAAACAAGTATGTTGTGGATGATGGGGGTAAAGAACGACTTTTACTTCCCATAAGGGTCTTGCATGGATGGTGTGTTTATTACTTGAATGTAACTGAATAATATTGAAAAAATTATGAAAGGTTCTTTATATTGGCATATAATAGTTTTAAACCTTCAAAACAAATTAATAAAATCATATTTACACATGAATGACTTTAATAAACCAATAATAAAAAACTGAA